GCTGGCTGAGGAATTCTGGGAGTTGAAGTCCACAAGTCTTAAAGTTGCCAAGGTTGGACACCCCTGCTCTACAGCTTTAAAGCATATGCTGTAGTTTCCCCAAAATGTTTACATTAGTACTTGATCCATCTTCCTGTTTGACAAACTTGCTGCCTTAGGAATGATTCCGTTGCTTTGTTGTAAGATATAACCTTTCCCATTTGTTTCACTGTTTATTAAAGCATTTTCATTTCCTTTAATTTGGGGGGAGGAAAAAAGAATGATGCTTGTTCAATTTTGGCATTCCAAATTCCAGCAAGACAAGGAGAAATCTGGCAGGAAGTTTCGACACTCCGGTTCTGTTGAATAATAATGATGATATATAGATATAATAATGACATCTCAAAAGGCAAAAAAATCTAGGAATGTTTCTTTATTAGAGTAATGTTGAGACCAAGGTAGTTGTAGCTCAGGCAATCTGCAAAGGTTCTTGTAGAAAGACCAATTCTGGAACTGGATGAGCCAGAAGCTTGACCTCTGGTGTTTGTTGGTGCCTTGTTAAAGATAATGGTGTTGAGCAGCTGAAGAAGCAGAACAGCCTTTGAGCCCTGCCATCTTTCCTTAGCAACTGGGAGCCACCATGACCTCATTGACGCAACAAGTTCTCACCCACTTCTATCATACCCACCGTAGCTCCAAACCACCCTCCCCTGCCATCTTTTGCCCAGGGGCAGCTGCTGCCCCTTTCTCATCGTTTGGCTGCCCCCTTGCAGCTCCACAACCATCTCCTCTGGTGAAGTGCCAGAACAGCACACTGTTCTTCAACAGCAGTCAGACCACAGGGGCACTCCAGGGCTTAGATAGCAGTTCCTAATGATTCCTGACACTAAATCACTCAGCAGCCACACCCTGAGCTGACATTTTAACCAAGCAATACACCATGATGTCCAAAACCCCATTTTTTTCGATGCACCACATGTGCCACATTCAGATTCTCTGTAGCTTTATATACGGTGACATTGTGGAATAATTTCATCTGAATATTTATAAATGTTTTAGTATGGGGTTCCTGAAGATTGCAAGGTATGTAAAGCACAGTAAACTGTAGCCGTACATATTTAGCAAGGAAGCAGGCTTTAAAGGGAAATAGTTTCCACATTATATTCCATTCTCCGAATCAGTGTCACATCCCCTATAAGGCACTGCCATTCCAATGGGTGGGGCTGGGTAGGAGGCTGTCAGAGCTGGGTTATTTCAATGCTTTCGCTTTTGCTGTAACTGTGGCTAAAGTGGTTTGGATTTAGGGCTATCTCTGAGACAAGATGGATTTCCACCCAGCCGATTCTAGCCTGACTCCAAGGTCACTGGGTCCTGGGGATGAACTGCTATCAAGCTAACGCCGCCTCGGAGTTCTCAAAACACCTATGCAGAACTGTATTGGTTGCCAGTGGATTGGTGAAGCGGGGTTGGATTTTGAACTGGGAAGAATCGCTTAATGCTTTGTGTGGGAACCTTAGGTTCTGCCTGACTTCTCTGCTGTCAGAGTTCCTTGTGACAACTACCGGTTTCAAGAGTCATGCTTTCCTGGGTGGGCTGGCTGAGGCAGGTCCTTATCGTTAGTTGTAAATGGAACAGATTAGAAAGGCTGGTGGTGGAAAGTTCTGTTGCTGCAGAGCACAAATCTGATCCACTTATCTTTGTCTTTGGGTTTCTCTGTAATCAGCTATATTCACATACATCTATGGTTTCTTGTTGCTTAATTACCATATAAATTTAGCATTTTGTCTTTTGTCTCAAATTATGGGCGCTCCATCATTGGAGAATTTCAGGAAGAGATTGGACAACCATTTGTCTGGTATGGTAAGGGGTCTTCTGCTCGAACAGGCAGCTGGACTTGAAGACCTCCAAGGTGCCTTCTAATCCTGTCGTCCTATGTTCTTTGTTTTCAAAGTCCTACCTGTGGAGCGTTACTAAAGATGCCCACATATGCTTGATCTGGGGTTGCAAACTCATAATAAATCTTGGACACCAAAGTCCTATCGTGTTATGCTTGAGCAGGCAGAACAAAGATCAACTTGAGAAGTCACAAATTGAATAAACATTCATAATTTCCCTTTTATGGATTTTTTTTTCCTTATAAGATCAACCCTTTGGCTTTGGCTGGAATTCTGCCCAACTGCCAACTACAGCTCAAAACTTTTCAAACTCTTCATTAAATACAGCTGGTTTCACTCAGCCTTTCATGGGTCACAAAATTCCAGTTGTCCAACAAATCCCAGAATTCAAAAATCAAAATGAAAAAAAATGTAAAAACTCAGAATTCCAAATTTTTAACAAACCTGTGAATACCTAAAGGCAAACAAAAGTCATAACCAGAAGCCAACATGAGTTTGTAAAAAACAGATTATGCCAGACAATGTGGCAAAATTAATGAACAAGAGAAATATGATATAATTTACTTGGACTTCAGTAAGGCATTTTATAAAATAGAGCACAATAATACTTGATAAGATAAAAGTGTGGGTTAGACAGCAACACCACCAGATGGATTTATAGTTGGCTGAACCAACCACACTCAACATGTAGTCCCTAATGGAACTACATCCACCAGGAGGGAAGAATGCAACGGGGTACCCCAAGATTCTGTCTTAGGCTCAGGACCCTTCAGTATCTTCATCAATGATTTAGACAAGGGGACAGAAGGGGAATTCATCAAATTTGCAGAAGACACCAAGCTGACACTCCAGAAGAGAGGCTCAAGATCCAGGTGGATCCTGACAGACTTGAACACTGGGCCCTATCTAACAAAATGAAATTCAATGGTGGGAAAAGTAAGGTTCTACATTTAGGTAATTTAAAAACCAAATGCACAGGTACAGGATAGGTGGTACCTGGCTGAATAGTAGTAACTGTGAGAGGGATCTTTTAATCCTAGTGGACAACCAGAAGTGGGTAATCAGCCTCTGACCAGTTCTGGAGAACCAGTAGTGGACATTTTGAGTAGTTCGGAGAACCGACAAATACCGCCTCTGACTGGCCATCTCTTCTCTGCCTCCCATTGAGTCCCAGCTGATCGGCTGGCTCTTCTTTGGTTGCCCTGCACAGGAGAACAAAGCTGGAAAGCAGGTTAGTGAGGTGGGGAGAGAATGGGATTTTGCAATAACCTTCCCATGCCACACCCACCTAGCCATGCTGACAGAACTGATAGTAATTTTGTTTTGAATCCCACCACTGGTGGACAACCACTTAAATATGAGCCAGCAGTGTGCTGCAATTGCCAAAAAAGCAAACACAATCCTAGGCTGCATTAACAGAGGGATAGGCTCAAGATCAGACAAAGTGTTAATACCACTTTGGTAAGACCACACTTGGAATACTGCATCCAGTTTTGGTTGCCATGATACACAAAAGATTGAGATTCTAGAAAGAGTGCAGAGAAGAGCAACAATGGTTATTAGAGGACTGGAGGCTAAAACGTATAAAGAACAGTTACAGGAGTTGGGTATGTCTAGTCTAATGAAAAGAAGGGCTTGGGGGAGGCATGATAGAAGTGTTCCAATATCTCAGGGATTGCCACAAAGAAGAGTTGGGGATCAACCTATTTTCCAAAGAATCAGGAGAGAAGACAATGGACAGAAGCTCATCAAGGAAAGAACCATTCTATTATTCTGTTAGCTGTATCTCCCTGACACCTCCAAGGTGATGAGAGTTTTAGGCTGATCCATCTCCAGGACATGAGTTTGAGGAAAGTTGGTCTGAGCAGAGATGATAAAGAAAATATAACCCTTGAGATATTTCAAAACACTTGATATGCCACCACCCTGCCCCTTTCTTGATAGGACTGGATAACACGGCCGATGCCAGCAAGCTGGTTCCCTGAGCCAACTGCCCATTGGTTGAAGGAGCAGCTGTTCCTCCACCAGGAGCAAGTGCAGGAGGTTAAATTAAGCTGACTTTGGTCTTGTTTCATCCACTTCCGCCCTTCTGAGCCTTTCCTTGCTTCCTTGTTTCCCAGTAATGTGGGAGGGGAAAAAAGGACGATCTCAGAAATAAGATACGGAGACACTAGATGCAACATGTTCTCCTTGAAATTTAACACTGAGAAGTTAAAGGTTGCGCAAGCATTTCTGTTTATAAGTTTTCACTCCCCCTTGTACTTGTTGTGACTACGGGAGTTTTTGAAACTGGTTGCTGTAAATCTCAGAGTTCTTATCTTGCTCCCGGACCTTCAGGATTAATTAAGAAAACTTTACCAGAGCTGTGGGATGTTTCAATCAGGTTTTATTCAGGAAGCTAACTCATCCTCAGGACATGATGTGACTACGGGAGTTTTTGAAACTGTTTGCTTTAAATCTCAGAGTTCTTGTCTTGCTCCCGGACCTTCAGGATTAATTAGTAAAACTAACCGGAGTTGTGGGGAGGTTTCAATCAGGGTTTACTGGGGAAGCGGACACACCCCCAGGACATAAAAGGAAGTGTGTGAGCCCACAAGCTTTGTTCGGGTCAAACTGTTTAATTGGTTACAAACTGTTACCAACTCTGTTACAAACTGAGAAAACTGGGAACCTGTTATGACTGTGATACTTGTTCTAACCTGCTGTTAAACTGTGAGTTTTTGGAAGAGGTATTTGGCTCTTTCTGCTATTACTGTGAGAGTCATTCTGCTAAGTTTGCTATCTCGTGATCCTATTATCTGGTCGTCTTGTGAATATATTATTCTGGGAGAACTGCTAATGAAGGAATGAAATAAACTTCAAAGGTGTTTTTACTATCTGGTCTGGCGGTGAGTTTTTTGGGAGAGCTGCCAATGACATTTTATTGCCAGAATGAACTTTGGCTTTTGAGTCCATGTGTTTTATAGCTTGTTTGCTGTGGCATTCTAGTCTCTCACTCTGTGGCCTGGGATGGGACAGAACATGTACTGATATTTCAAGCTCTGAGCACTAAGCTGAAATGAAGCTGGTCTGGTGGCTCTTCTTCTTCCTGGACTTTTGGGGCCTATTTCTGGCAGATGAAGGTAAGGTTACAAAATTTGAAAAGATTTGATCCTCTTGCAGCAATCAAAAATGGAGAACCTCTCATGACAATAAAATCTGCCTTTGGCAATTACACGACCCTAGGACAGATAACCAGAGTTGGAAGAGACCTTGTAGGTTATCTAGTCCAACCCCCCCCAGCCCCCCCCCAGCCCCACCTAAGCAGGAAACCCTACACCATTTCTGACAAATGACAGTCCAATCTCTTCTTGAAAGTCTCAAGTGATGATGCTCCCACAACGTTTTGTGGCATTGATTTGGAAAACTAAATCCTGTTTTTGTCAATGTGCAGTCCCTTGATGAAAAATATAGACTTGTGTAGAAGAGCATCTGCCTGATGGCAGTTTTCAACACTAAATTCGGAGATCAAAGACTAATGAAACACGCCTTGGTCTCCCTTCGTCTCCCTCACCTGAAGGGAGCTTTTCCATAGCCTCTCCTTCCAGCAGGACCTCCTACCCAGAGGGTCAGGGCTTCTGGGAATGAGCCACAAAAGACCTTTCATCTGATAATAACATTCTCAAAAGGAGCTGGAGCTTTCGAAAGTTGGACCAAGTCAGGCTGTGACAATCTCTCCTTCTTCCTTTGCATTGCCTCCCTCCTAACGCAGAGAAGATGAATTAAACCTCTTATTTCTGTCAAATTTGAATCCCCTACTCAGTAGTTGCACGATGTTGCAGAGCTATGAAAATCCACTTCCAGCTCTGGCACAGAGGTCTTTCCCAAATCCAAAGCATTTTTAGACTGACAGCCATGTTTATTTTTTAAGCTAGTTGATAAATTCACTGCTAAATGTATTCCTTTTGAGTTGCATTGGTTGTCCTCATTCAGTAACTGCCTCATCTAGATACCATTTGCACTTTTGATAGTGATGAAGAAGTAACCTTATGGCAAATCCTTGTATGAATGACCTTTCATACAATGAAATGACCTGGAATGATCTGTAAAACAAAGGAAAGCTGAAGTAACATCATAAACTCACTTGAAGTTTCATCTTGTGACTGCTTCACTTAATGGTTGAGCTGCTCATCCCTACCTGTATGTCTAAATGTCATCTCAATGCTAAAGCAAAAATGTATTTAATCTTGTTTGATAGGAATTTCAATAACAATTTTAAAATTCGACCAGTCACTCACTCCCAGCCCAAACCACTTCTTAGATTGTGGTTATGGGGAAACTAAGAGGAGGAAGGAATATTAGATAAGTTCTCCACTTAGAATTCCTTATAAAGTAATAAAGACAGGATAAACTTCTAACAAAATAAATAAATCATTTGTGAGAATGGTGACCTTCTAAAGGAGAAGGAGTGCTGACTGCTTGTCACATGCCTTACACTACTGTATTTGTTTCATTTTTATCCACTTTATTTTTCTCTACTTTTTGGTTTAATCTTCAATGATGGCATAGCCTGTGAAATTCTTACCTGTCTCACATGCCAGGATTATGTGGGAAAACATCAAGTAAACACATCCATGTGACTGACAGGCAATGGCAGCAGAAATCACTAAGCAGCTACATTAAGACAGAAAGGTGGAGGCACCAGGGTGAAAAAAGTAGAGGATCTCAGGGAGAAGAGAGCTAAAACCTTTCATCAAAGTGGCACAACCTAGTCAACCACAGCAAGATAGGAAAGTCATCCATGCCTCTTTTATGTGCTATTTCCATTGGAAATTTTGAGATTCTTTCAAACTGACAGTGCAAAAATTGTCCCAGCTCTACAATATTGGCGATCTTTTTAATGATCTTTCACTTTTTATCTAGAAAAGTGATAACAGGATTTAAAAAGCAAGTTCAATCATGCCTTTTCCATCTAATCAATTTTGCCAAACATCTCTCCAACTCACAATAAAATAGCACTGTTCCAATATTTGAGCCACTCCTACAAATATGAGGGAGTCCATCTATTTTCCAAAGCATCAAAAGGCAGGACAAGAAACAATGGATGGAAACTAACCAAAGAGAGAAGCAACCTAGGACTAAGGAGAAATTTCCTAAGGGTGAGACCAATCCACCAGTGGAATAGCTTCCCCTCAGAAGTTGTGGGTGCCCCATCACTAGAGGCTTTTAAAAAGAGATGGGTCTGAAATGATATAGGGTTGGACTAGAAGACCTCTGAGGTCCCTTCCAACTCTATTATTCTATGGTCTCTGTGTTCTAAATTGGGTGCTTCACAGCAGAAGCAATACAGCTGGCTGGACCGCACATGCATTACATTCAGGGCCTGTATGGTCAAGTTGCATCATTGTCCCCCCCCCCCCCCCCCCCCCCCCCCCCCCCGGAAGAAGCAAAGAGTAGCCAACACTGCAGCAGCTACAAAGGGTCTTGGGGAACTCCAGGAGTATCAGCTGATCACATTACTTAATAACACTTATAATGAAAATGTTTGTAATCTTGTCCTTCTTCCTGAAGGTTTTATATTTTATATAGATTTATATTATTTATTTATTTGATTTGTCAATTGTTTACAAGATAATAGGTATAAGTAAAAACATAGTTATGAATATAAGAAATGAGTACATGTAAGAAACATTAAAGAAACAAGAGGACAGGGACGGTAGGCACATTGGTGCGCTTATGCACGCCCCCTACAGACCTCTTAGGAAAGGGGTGAGGTCAATAGTAGACAATCTAAGGTTAAAGTTTTTGAGGTTTGGGGAAGAAACCACAGAGTCAGGTAGGGTATTCCAGACATTGATCACTCTGTTGCTGAAGTCGTATTTCCTGCAATCAAGTTTGGTGCGGTTAACCTTGAGTTTGTATCTACCGTATTGTGTGCTCTTGTATTGTTGTGGTTGAAACTGAAGTATTCATTGACAGGTAGGATATTGCAATGTATGATTTTATATACTATACTTAGATCGGACCGAAGTCGGTGTAGTTCTAGGTTTTCTAGGTCTAGAATTTCGAATCTGGTGGCATAAGGTATTCTGCAACGAGCAGAGGAGTGGAGAACTCTTCTTGTGAAATATTTCTGGACTTTCTCAAATGTGTTAGTATCAGATACATAATGTGGGTTCCAGACTGATGAGCTATATTCAAGTATTGGTCTGGCAAATGTTTTGTATGCCCTAGTTAGAAGTGTGATATTACCAGAGAAAAAGCTACGTAAGATTAGGTTAACAACTCTTAATGCCTTTTTGGCTATGTAGTTACAGTGGGCTCTGGCACTTAGATCATTAGAGATGAGTTTTCCAAGGTCCTTGACAGAGTTTGGATCATCAAATATCAAATAGATAGATGATTGATGGGTTTTCTGGGTGTTTCCCCGCCCTAATCTTGTCAGTTTCTGTTGTTTATTAACTTTATTCAAGGCATGTGCCAGCTGCATTCCTGTGGTTTTGTTATCACAACTAAGTAGCCTGTTAAGTGGTTCTTGGCTGTCTGCCTGGAGCTATTAACTGAAGAGAGAGAGAGAAGAAAAAAAAATCTTTTGTACTTTATTTTCATCTGGTTCTCTGAACTGCACAAGCAGTTCAGCCAAACCGGTGCAAACCAGCTGAATCCCACCACTGGTTAAAGAGGTGCTAAGGAAGCAGCAGCATGGTCTGAAAGTTTCATCACCCCCTTAACTCAAATGCACATTTTTTGAGTGCAGGCAATTTATGTGAGCCCAGAAAAAATGAGACTGTTAAAGGAGGTGAAGTGAAGGCCATGAAGTCCCCCAACATCTCTTCTGCTTTGGATCTGGAGCTACACAACTCAAGAACTAGGTGGGCCCCAGCTGCAGTTTGGCATGACAGTCACATGTAAGTGCAGCCATGAATTTGTGGTGACATCTGAGGGGGAGATTTTGTGGATCACACTAGCTGGAGTCTGCAATGTATAGACTTTGGCCTCTCTTGGCTTCCTGACCGAAAGGTGCTGTTAGGTTAGGGGTAGAGAGAATGAAGGACTGGCTCTCCCTTATCCCCTTTGTCTCTACTTATCTGCTCTTGTGGAAGAGATGGCTAATTGGGGTTACTTTCTTCAGTCTTTCTTCTTGGGGGGGGGGGAAGCAGGGCTCCCTTCCTGTCTGACTGGCGGCAACTGGGTGTTTTCATCTGTTGATGATGCTCTGGGACAGGGGTCTCCAAGCTTGGCCACTTTAAGTCTGGTGGACCTCAACTCCCAGAATTCCTCAGCCAGCTGGGAGTTGAAGTCTGCCAGATGTCAGCCTTCAAGACTCCTTTCTTTCACTATCTTTTGGGCTGCCATAGTAAGTGGGGGAGGGTAAATCAATTGGGCTTTGTGGGGGGAGGGGAAGAGAGCTGGAGGTTTTAGAGAATGAACTGTATAACTTGGGGAAAACTGTATTGTTTATGCTTATTTGCTGCTTACTGGGCAACTGCAGCTCTTTATCAGATTAGGCCAAGGTCAATGGCCAGATGTTTTCATCACCACCTGAAGATGCCCCACGTGACATTATACACATTTTCGATTGGATGGACCATTCGAACTAGTGTAGGTGGGAACGTTGCCATCAATTTGTATATGTGATTTCCGCGCATAAATTCTCATCTTTTGATGCTACCACTTGATTTCCAGTAAAAGTGGCCAAGGTTGGAGACCCCTGCTCTAGGGTAGATTTTATTTAAGTAGAAGAGGAATCATGGCTATCTCTTTACATTCATAAATACTGAACACACCCCAGAGGTGGTCTTCAGCAGGTTCTGACCAGTTCTGGAGAACCGGTAGCAGAAATTTTGAGCAGTTCAAAGAACCGGCATAAATCCCACCTCTGACTGGAGATTTTATGGTCTCCTTCTCCTGCCACGCCCACCAAGCCACGCCCACAGAACCAGTAGTAAAAAAAATATGAATCCCACCACTGACACACACAGTATTCTACATTCCTCCAAAGCAACCGTTATGTTTCTTTCAACCACTCTATTTTGGAGTTTATTTTTTTTAAAGCAAACAAACATGAAAACTATAGTGGAGCTTTCCAAGAAAAAAGTAGACAGCCCAGCCCCAACGAACGCTATAAGACCATACACGGTGCAACTCTCTTATCTCCTGGGCAGGAAAGCCAGTGAGGTCTCTGGCTGGCCTTCTTAATCACAAGTGCCTCTTCTTTGCCCAGGGAAAACTCCCGGCCCTCCCCGGGTCCTCACCACAAATGGAGAACTCCAAGGACAGCAAATCAGGGTGAGAGGAGCTGAGAGGGATGTGGAGGTTTTCCTCGGAATTCCCTACGCAAAACCCCCGGTTGGATCTTTGCGGTTTTCCCCTCCACAACTGGCAGAACCCTGGACTGGTCTCAGAGATGCAACCTCTTACCCTCCCATGTAAGTCAAGAGCTTTTGCCAAGCATCTGATCCTGGAGTGATGGCTGTTAGCCATCTAGAAAAGCCTATGGCTCTTAGGGGGTCATCCAGAAGGATTGCCAAAGGATTATGGGGGGGGGGGGGAAGAGCGTCCATTCACTTTATTTCTTCATGAAACTTGAGTTTCCTGGGTGGCAAATTGGGGGAGGGGATATGATTGCACAGGGGTTTTCCAGATCCCAACCTTTTAAAAAGATCCCTGCCACTGCCGTCATCTTGAGATTGACCTATATTTTATTCCATGGATGATAAATCGACAAAATTCCCTTTGTCCCCACCCATAGAAGCGATAACTTGCCAACCTTTTCAGCAGCAATCTTCTCACACATCCATTAGTATTTAGGAACATCTGGCTGGCAGTTTGAGCAAAATCTCTTTCTTGTAAAAGATCCCCTTTCCCAAATGTGTCGACTATCCCAGGTGTGCCCAGGTTAGTTCCAGAAAAGAAAAACAATAACAAGAAACAAAATCAGGGCTGGAAGAGGAGAGCTCCTTGGCTTTTTTTTCCAGGAAAAGATCAAATTGAACATTTGTTTTTTTCTTGGAAAAAAGCCAAGGAGCTCTACTCTTCCAGCCCTGATTTTGTTTCTTGTTATTGTTTTTCTTTTCTGACTGATTCCTAGTATGATTTGATGGCTTATTTGTACCTTATGACTATCATTAAGTGTTGTGCCTTATGATTCTTGACTCTTGATGAATGTATCTTTTATGTATACTGACAGCATTTGCACCAAGACCATTTCCCTGTCTGTCCAATCACACTTGGCCAATAAAGAATTCTACTATCTACTATTCTACTAATGACTTAAGTTAGGATGGATTTTTATAAGTTCGATATATTTATTTGAAAGAAAACTCAAAGAATAGAATAGAACAGAACAGAACAGAACAGAACAGAACAGAACAGAGTAGAGTAGAGTAGAGTAGAGTAGAGTAGAGTAGAGTAGAGTAGAGTAGAACAGAACAGAACAGAACAGAATAGAATTCTTTATTGGCCAAGTGTGATTGGACACATGAGGAATTTGTCCTAGTGCAAATGCTCTTGGTGTACATAAAAGAAAAGATATATTCATCAAGAGTCAAGAATCATAAGGTACAACACTTAATAAAAGGTAGTTTTGTATTTATAAAATGAGTTTGTAAATACATGTTTTCGGTCATTTTATGTAATGTTGAATAATTCCCAAAGTTTGTAATTGATCAAATTTGCAAATAAGAGAAGAAAAAGATTTCACTCCATAAACTTGAGGGAGAGATATAAATAATGAGCTAATTTAAGTTAATTGAATTTTTATTGGTGTGATGTATATAATTGAATGAAAGCTTTAATGTAGTTTTGTGTTTTTTGTTTAAAATGAAGAGTTTTTTCCCCCTTTTTTTTTTTTAAAAAAAACAAGTTTTATTAATTTATAAAACACACAAATTATCATTATTCATTACATGTTTAAACCTTTTTCCCTTGTAAATTTAACAAGTCAGATAAATTATGATTCTGTTTTAAACCATTTCCATATAATATACCAAAACCTCTTATTCAATTTCTCTTTACTTCTCTTTACTCTTATTCAATATCATTATTATTATTTCATCTGTTTCTTTCTGACTTAGTTACCATTATTCTCATTCTATATTTCTACAAGTTTTAACCAATTCTCCCCCCAAAAAAGACATATACACACAACACACAAAACATAAAAAAAATATCTTTTTGGAAAGTAACTTGGACCCAGGTGTCTCTCTCTTCATGGACTTCAATTATATTCATGCTCATCTTACATATCATTACTTATTTTATTTACCATTCTAAGCCTTCTATATTAACTTCTCCACATATTTCACACTTCTTAATTCTACCTTAATTAATCATCTTAGTTTAAATCATTATATTTGTATCTTTTGTCCATTTTTTATCATCCCTTTGTCTCATCCCTTATGAAAAAAAAGAAAATCAGTTTCTCCTGAAATCATTAATCAGAGTATGATGCCTTTCTATCTCCCCCCTAAGTTAATCAAATTAATCTTTAAAATAATATCTAATACCCAATCAGATTTTGCTTGGTACATTCTATCTAACTAATACATCCAACACAATTAAGTGCATAATTAGAGAATAAATCCAAATATTACAAAGAAATACTATAATAAAAATTTCATAATAACATCAATACCATAATTTTATTAAACTCTTTAATTAAAACAATATTCTAAACCCCTCCTATTATTAAGTTTTAAAACCAATCATTTTTAAACATTTTAACATTTTAATCTCTTATCAACTCTTAAACCATTGCAATACTACCATCTCATCTTATGTACCTTGCAAAATCTTTTTACTTTATCCATTATCCATAAAAAATTCCTTTTTTCCATTTAATTTCAAAACGTTGTAGCTTTTCTCCACCTTTTCCCTTTCTTTCTTTTCCCAACAAACCTTTCTACCCCCCCTTCTTCTAGCCTCTGCCTTACCGGCTTCCCTTCTCTGTCGTATTTCTTTTCCCCTTTGTTTACAATCATCATATTGGTTTTGCACTTTATTTTTCCCTTTCTTAAATGTTTTTTTAGATCTTAAGTCCTTAAATCCTTTAGTTTTCTTCTTTTCTCTTCTTTTCTTTTCTTTCTCTCTTCTTTTTTTCTGGATCAAATTCTGAGATTCATTAAAGATGGCTCCTTCCTTTCTTTCTTGTTCCTCTGCTGTCTTCATCTGTTGTAATTTTTGTTGATAATTAGTAAGCGCCATTTCTAAGAAAAGGAAAGCTTCTTCCACACCATTTCTTAGTTCCTCAACAGAAAGAGCCATTATAAATCTTTTCTTTTCTTTTCTCCTTCTTTCTTCTTACAACAACCAGAATATTCAAAAGAAAATAAAAAAGATAAAACAGTCCCAAAGTTATCAATCAGTCCAAACCAAGGCAGAGTTCTCACTTTCTCCTTCTGGGGTGATATCAATCAAAGAGAAAGAAAGTCCAAATCTGTTTAAAGTCTTGTTACAATATATTCTAGTCTTCAAATCCTTAAGGCATCTGCTCCAACAAATCTTAGCATACAAATATTTTCTTTTTAATCCTCTCTCTTCCCACTCATCGCTTAAAACCAATTTCCACCTAAAAAAATAGGTTTCTTAATATCCAGTTATTTATTCCGTAGGAAAAGAGGGAAAGCTATCCTTTCAGCACCTTCAAGCAGCCGCTTTTTTCCTCTTCTGGCAGGTATTATTCAGAAAGTCATACTTTTCAGGAATTTTATTAAATATGTCTTAGAGTCCTAGGAGCCAAGAAAAACTTTCTCCTCTCAATCACTTTCTCCACTTCCTCCTGCGCATTCTTACCCGGCTGCCAGCTTCTTTGTGGCGGCCATTACGGACCGCCGCTGCACCGTCCTGGGAAAAGGGGGTTCTGCCGGCCAGGGAGGGGGTCTGCAGCACCCCCAGACCCTTCTCCGGATCCCCCCTACCTTCAGCTGCCCCTGCAGGGCAGCCTAGCTCCGTACCCGGCTGGGTCGGAGCCCCAAAAATGGCTAGCTCTTCCGGTTTGTCGGCTTCGCGAGCGGCAGGGATTTGCGAAGCTGCGCGATCCCTGCCGCGCTAGTTTTTTCCCCTTTATGTATAATAGTTGAGTGATTTTTAAAGTTTGTAAAATATCAAAACTCGAAGAAGTGTTTTCTCCCTTTAGGGTTAAAACAATTGAAATAATATAGGGATTCTTTTAATATAATTACAACAGTTTATTAATCAGTAAACAGAAGCTTACACTAATCCCCACAGCAACGGGAAGCAGAGATGGTCAGACTGAGTCTTTTATCCAAAGCCGGGTATATATTTAATTTTGCTTCTATTTGGAAATTGCTTCCGTGCTTGCAATGAAAAAAAAATGAAACTTTGATTTTTTTTTTGTTGATTACATAGGTGTGTTGCTGTAGAAATGGCTAGTATATACCGTTGTGTAAAACTAAAAAGTTGAGGTTGTAATGTTATCTTGTACTATGCTAAGGAGAGTTGGAAATCCATGCCTTTTTCTTTCTTTTTCCTCTTTACACCATAATTTCTTTTTCCTTCCCCACCTCCTAGTTTTCTATTACTTTTTAAAATTTCTCTGTGTATTTTATATTTTGATAAACTAATAAAAATATATTACGGGAATTATTTCAAAGGCAGAAAAGCTTAAACCGGGATCCCAACCCCCAATCATGGCCCAGTACTGGGCTGCATCCCATTCAGAATCAGACCGTGCAAGCGGCAGGTGAACGTGCGTGCAACTCCATGTGTGCAAGTGGCGGGCACTCTCACACGCACAGAAAGCTCCATTTGTGCAAGTGGTGAGCGCACCAGGTCAGAAAAGCCGGGGACCCCCCACCGGCTTAGACAATGCCTCACGTGCTCTTGCTTGGTCTCTACAAGGTGCCTGCAGGATCCCCTGGTGGGACAAGGTCTCTCGGATGCCTTTACTAACACAGGGCAAAGAATCTCCTTGCGTGTCACGGAGGACTGCTTGTACCTGAACATCTACGTGCCAGCCCACTCTGATAAGGCAGAGCAGTTACCGGTAAGCGATTACTCGGCTAGGCAGTACGGCTTTCTTGTTTCTAGGTCTGATTTGGTCCCGCAGCCTAAGGTGAAATCAAGTAGCTGTCAACTCATAAAATATTTCTCTGGTCTTTTTGGAGTTGCCAACAGAAAGGGAGGGGGGAACAATGTGGCAGCTTGCAAAACCGAAACTGCATCCAATAAATGTGTTCAAAGAAGTTTTCAAAGATAGTTTCTGGGTGACCGAAGTTTCTGCCATGCAAAATTCTAACTAGAGAGCATGATTGATGACTCTGGGCTATGGATGTGTCCCATTGGAGAATATGAATTATGATACACCGGGGGGGGGGGGGGGGAAATCAGGGTCAAGGGTGACAATGAATGATGTGTCTCAGAGTCTGCTACACCCAGGCAGTGCCAGACCTTTTAACTCTCAATAAATCCTTTTGAAGTTTTGGAAGTTTGGCTCAAGACTCATGATTTAAATGGGGTTAAGTGCAGGAATCCTGACAGTAGCATTCAATATTGTTTATTGATATTGCATCTAAATCTACTCTTATTCCATTTTGTACACTAAATCTCTCAGTTGTCTACATTTGCAGAAGGGCTTTTAAGTCAGTTCTCATCTTCCAGACAGTCACTTCCATTGCCCTGTTGCATTTGGCTTCCAGGTGATGGTCTGGATCCATGGTGGAGGACTTCTGATAGGCGCAGCGTCCACATATGATGGGTCTGTTTTGTCTGCTTACGAAAATGTAGTGGTGGTGGCGATCCAATACCGCTTGGGCATTCTCGGGTTTTACAGGTAAGTTGATATTGTCATCTTCACCTTCACCTGGACGATAGCACACCCTTCTCATCTTTGTTTTAATGCCTCTAAAGAGCTCAGTTTCGAGTTTCATCAGCTGCTCTTGCTGTTCAGAAAGAGAGCAGAAATGCACAGCGTGGAGTAGAGGACACAAGATGCTGCTCTTTAATTTCATTTAATTTATGCTGGCTAGTGCTTTTTCCTTTTGTCTTTGCCCCACTTCACTGAGATCCGCTGGAGGATTGCTAACAACTGTCCCCAAATCCTCCCTCCACAGAAACATCTCCATCTTTAGGTTCCAGGACAGATAATTAGTCTCATTAAGGAGCCACAGAAAATCTTCCTCCCATTTCCATAATAGAGAGCACCGTGCTGTCTTTACAAACCAATAGTCCTCAACTTTTCTCGGGCTCATGAAGAAACTTTTATCTCAAAAAAATACTACTGGTGCTTCTGGACCCATAACCTGTCAGGGACTTGCACAGCCAGTGACAAAATAGAATGAGTGATGCTGACACAAACTTGTAGTTTTATGTAAATAAATATATTTTACAAATATATACACAGCAACTAGATAGTCAGGCAAACAGGAGCATCATCAGGTAAATCACCACAGCAGGAACATACAGAGCATGCAGAACACCTGTCAGCATTCCAAGTAAACTGCCCATTGAGTGTGCAAGTAATGCACACAGAGGAAAAAAGATGGGAAACAAGGAAACTCCCCCTTTACACTCACAGCAACCAATCGCAGCTCAGGTTGCCTCACGCAGTGGCCGGGTCTCTTCAACCAATGAGCTACAATAATGTGTCCTTACTCATTGTCCAACCCTTCACTGCTCCAGCTATTAAACTGGATATCTTAACAGGCTTCCTATGGTACAAGTAGGTGAGGTCAAATCAGGGGTGGGATTTAAAAATCCCAGTAACCAGTTGCTGCCTGGTTGCTGGGTGGGTGTTGCCATGGTGGGCGTGGCCTACCGGAACTTCTGGGAGGGCCGTTTTTCTCCTTCCCCAGAGTCCGGAGGCTTCCCCTCTGGAGGAGCCTCTGGGAGGGTGAAAATGGCCTCCCCCGGGCTCTGGAGGCCCCCCAGAAGCCGGAAACAGCCCCCTTTCCAGACTTCCGGTACTTCTGGAAGGCCTGTTTCCCCCCCTCCCAGAGCCTCTCTGTGAACCCTGCACTCCCCTGCATTGCATGGAGACTCCTGGGAGGGGAGGGGCAGGGTGGGCTGGTCAGTTGAAATACCAGTTCAGCGAACCAGATTAAACCTTAACATCCGGTTTGCCTGAACCAGTCCAAACCGGTAGAATCCCACCCCTGGGCCAAATAGAGGGGTCCTGGTCGCTTCCTATCTTCAGAAACCGAGATTTCATCCAAGCAACAGGAATGAGTTTGGGAATGAGTTTTCGATCTGTCCTGCAAATAGGCTTCATCATTGTTAGTTTTCAAGTCAAGCTCATAATTATAATCATGACTTACAACCGTTCATTTAGTCACTGTTCTGTTAGTAACAGACATTTTGGGCTCAATTGTGATTGTAAGTTGAGGACTACCTGTACTTAAGGTTTTTAATCCATGGGGTTAAAGGTATCGAGAGGTCTGCTGGTACCTGCAAAGTTTGTGAAGGGAGCTTCTGTTCTGGATTTCACAGGTCAAGGTGATGGGAGAGATCTGGCCAAGGAGATCCCTCGGGACCTTCTGTGGTGGGACTCATCTCTGGGAGGAGGAGTCCGCCTATATAGGTGGACCGGCTGCTTTCGTGGTGTGGAGACAATAACTTGGTCCTCAACACCAATAAGTCCAAGGAGCTTATAGTGGACTATAGAAGGAACAGATCAGACCTCCAGCCCTTGCTTATCAGTGGAGACTGAGGGGAGCAAGTGGCCAGTTTTAAGTTTCTGGGTGTTACCCTAAAAGAGGACCTGACCTGGGGGGCCCCCATTGCAGCCCTGGTCAAAAGGGCCCAGCAGAGATTATACAACCTGAGACTTCTCAGGAAAAAACTGAATGAAAAACTGGTGACCTTCTACCATTGCACCATAGAGAGTATTTTAACTTACTGCACCTCTGTAGAGTTTGCCAATTGCACAGTGGCAGATAGGAAAGCACTCCAGAGAGTTAACATCATTGCCCAGAAGATCATTGGTTGCCCTCTCCCCTCTTTGGAAGAGTTTTAGAGCTCCCGCTGCCTTAAGAAAGTTCAAAATGGAGTTCCGGTTTTGAACTGCCCTGAAGATGGACCGCTGACCCCGACTGTGCACAGCTTTGGTCCATGCTTCGGCGTTGGAGAGTGCTGATCGATCAGATTTGAGAAAGAAGCAACCTCGTAGGGGTGGCAGATGAAGGGGAGACCATCAGCCGGGTAGAGGGGAGTCACAATCCCCTCCTTGGCTTGGCAATTGCTCCCCCCCCCGAAGATGCCTGAAGCGGTGGTCTAAAATGGCCACCCTGAAGGAAAAATTAAGCTGGAATAAGATTGTGCAGGAGAGAGAAAGAAGCGAACAACAGGAGGAACAGGACGCTATAATTAAATGGAAGGTACTCCCAGGATTAACATTTCAAAGAATTTTTAAGAAAGGATTTAAAGCGGCGAAGAGAAAGAGAGAAAAAAAGGTGTGAATTGCTTTTGACAGTAGCGAGGCTTTGAACCGAGAAAGGTAGAAGCTGGAAGAAGGAATCATCTAATCAATTTGGATAAGTATATTCTGATTCTATATAGGCACTAATAAAGTTGAACTATAGATTGTTAAAGAGAAAATTTAATACCAATTGGATTTAATCTTTTTGTTTGGGAAACTGTGGTTTAAAAAGCTCTGAATAATTGGGAAAAAAAGAAAAGAGGGGGTGAAGATATGTTATAACAAAGAGTGCCGTCTAATTTAAATCTAACTTGTTCTTCTTTTAAAAGACTCTTTTTCTTAAAAACTGTAAGGAAAATTGATACAATAAAACAAGAACTTTGAAAAATTGAAACATTGAAACAAAGAAAGAAACAGGAAGATTCTGCCCTTGGATTAATTGTTGATTCTGGCATGGATTTGGCATTGGATTAGCTGAGGACTAAAACTTGAGAGGAAGAAAATAAAAGCTGACTGTTGGAAATTTGGATTAAATTGCTAACTAGAAAGTTATAAAATGGCGATATCTCTTCTGGAATTAAAAATGGAACTTAGAAGCATGAAATAAATATTACAAAAGCGAGGTGAATTGTTGGGCTTTGCTTTAAAATTTATGGAAAATGTGATTGCAGAATATGAACAACAAAGACAAAAAACAGAAGAGGAGATGGAGCAAATCATAGAAAGGACCATCTTTAATTATCATCGAGAACAAAGAACTCTGGAAAGAAAGAGGAAAAGAGTTGGAAATAAATATAGGAGATTTAAGAAGTTAAAGAGGGGAATATCCGGAAAATTTTAAAAGGGATAAAGAATCAGCAGAAATTCGAAGGGTGGAAAGAAGCTATAAATAGAGAAGAGGATAAAAACTGGAGTGAAAGAATAAAGGGGAAAATACAACGGGAAAGAAGGGATAACAAACAGGATTTGGGAATAAAGAATTGTTTTAAAAAATGGGAAAAATTGTTTAATTAGACATAGATTGGTTGATTAATATTTAGAGAGCGGATTCTGCAAGGTGCTGGGCGGTAACATAAATAAATTTATAGTTATGAAATAGGGACATATAGATTGATAAGATGGAAAACAGAACTGTTATTTCTTGATAATGGAATCTAATGCTTTTTTCCTTTATGTATAGAGAAAATTGTAACAAATAATGGAATATGTTTATTAAATATATCAAAATATTTCTAGGACTGGAATGCAGCTTTTTTATCTAAATATGAATGGAATAATTAATGGAATATGTGTATTAAATATATTGAAATAAATGAAATGATATAGGAGGAGAGCTGAAATGGAATTAACATCAGGGTTTGGGATTAAGTGAGTAGATTAATATGTCCTATTTTTTGAAATTGTAAATAAATCTTATGAAATTAAAAGGGGGAAAAACTATGCAGAATCTGATTTATATATGCTATGTAGTTTTAAAGGGATTATTAATTTTAATGTTTTAGGTAATAAAATGTTAAATGTTTAATGGGATTTAAAAGGGGAGATAATTAATGAATATGTAACGTAGAGGTGGCACACTTAAACTGATATTTTAGGGGGGAAACCAATTTATAGGAGTGTTTTTAATCAGAATTTAAGATGAAATAGACAAATGTGACAGTTAAAAGTACTAAAGTATAGTAATTATGAAGTGAATTAAATAATGAGTGAATTAAATAATGAAGTGAATTAAATAATAAAATATTAAATAATAATAAAATAATAAAATATTAATTAATAATAATTAAATTAAATAATAATTATAAGTGAATTAAATAATGAGATAAGCATTTGGAATAATATAATAAAATAGAAAATGTATAAAAGCATTGTTAAGATAAGAAATTGAATATAAAAATTGAATACGTAACTGTGGTCATATTTGTATGTATATGTGAAACCTGTAATCATGCTGTTCACTAAAAAGAGATGTTAAAATGTGAAAACTGAATAAAACTTGTTTAAAAAAAGAGAAAGTTCAAAACATTCTTAAAGATCCATCCCATCCTGGGCCTCCTTATTTTTGAACTATTACCATCTGGCAGACAGTACAGGACAATAAAAACAAGCACAAATAGGCTGAAAAACAGCTCCTATCCCAGGGCAGGAGCTCTGTTGAATTCTACTCTATAGTGCAGCGTTGGTGCGGTGTCGGGGGTTTTCAGTTCAATGTGTGGAGTGTGAAGGATGTGTGTTTTTGTTTATTTTTATAGTCATGATGTGCACTGAAGATGGTGCTTGATTTCATTGTATGAGGTGCAATGACAACAAACTAAACCAGGGGTGGGATTCAAATTTTTTAACAACTGGTTCTGTGGGTGTGGCTTAGGTGGTGGGTGTGGCTTGGTGGTCATGTGACTGGGTGGACATGGCTTGGTGGTCATGTTATTGGCTGGGTGTGGCCAATTCAATATCACTCACATCGAGGCACGCATCTCCTCGCCTGGCCTCTCATGACTGTGGGGATGCTGCAACAGTCGTAAGTGTGAAAAAGGGTCATAAGTCACTTTTTTCAGTGCCATTGTAACCTTGAATGGTCACTCCACACAAGCAAAGTACCAACAAAGGAGGGGGAAAAAAACTCCAGAGAGGTTCCAGAGACAGGAAGTCTAGTCCTGCCAAGAATGTAATCAGGGTTAACGGAGAGGCAGTTTCTGTAAGCGGCACCAGAATGTTTCCTTCCTGCCTTCCTTACAGGATTAGGCCAATAATTTCTTCTAACAACCGGTTCTCCGAACTGCTTAGAATGTTAACAACCGGTTCTAGCGAATAGGTGCGAACTGGTAGAATCCCAACCCTAAACTAAACTAAACTAAACTAAACTCTCATCTTCCCTGTGGCAAGAAAGGCAGGTCTTTCCATAACCTTTTCACTCGTCTCCCTTGAATGGCTTTTAAAAAGTCTTTTCTGTTTTTTACTCTTTGGATACTCATGTTTGTGTTTTTCAAATGGTTTTATTTCTTTTGAGAGACCACCTTGGTCAAAGAATGACATACAGATTTTAATACAATTAAATAAATACCCCAGGACAAATATACTCCAGGGGTGTTTGAGGAGGACTCAAAAAAAGTCAAGATGGCCTCTGATCAAAACCCCCTGTGGTATTTCTCATCTGTGCAATGCAGAAACCGCAGAGTTTCAACACAGGGCCTTACCCAGGGGTTGGCTTTTTACCCCCCCCCCTCCAGTCCCCCCCCCCCCCCCCCCCCCCAGCAGAATTTAAGGCTCAGGGAAATAAAAGGATATTTAAACCGGGGGTCTCCAACCTTGGCAACTTTAAGACTTGTGGACTTCAACTCCCAGAATTCCTCAGCCAGCAAAGTTGCCAAGGTTGGAGACAACAATGTACATGATAAGTGTTCTGTACATAATAGAGAGAAAACTTAGGGATTGGTTACTTGGTTGGTTGGTTGACTGGTTGGTTGATTGAAAGACTATGTGCCATCAGCTTGGTTTCAAATCATAGCAAGCAGGAGGATCCATCTTCAATCTGGTCCGAAAGGTGTTTCAATGGCACACCCACTACCCTTGTATTCCCTTGTATTCCCTTGTATTCCCTTGCTGTTGGCTGTCCTCTTCTTCTCCTTTCTTCTTCCTTACTCAGAATTATAAATGTCTCCTCGGAGATGGATAATGTATGTGTGTGTGTGTGAGCATTTCAGTCTGGTCCTTTGTGGCTTGAGTGAGATGATGGTCTTCCTTTCCTATGTGCTCAAGGTTGCATTTTCCAAGAGTCCCATGTGCCAGTCAATGCCCTTCTGTAAATTGACTCAGGCTGACCTAATTCTAAGCCAACTGGAAAGTCATGTCCAGATGGTGGTACTATGGCTTGCAAGTATTCAGCCAGGGCTGCAAGCGACCACATCCTCTCACTGGGAAATTTGCTCCTGCTGGGATCTCTCACCTTTCCATCCCAGGAAAACAATTAATGGAGAGTCAGGATTTTAAGCAAGATCCCCAAATAGGAAGTTAATGGCTGCCTCCAATCTTTGTTACCAAATTGCCTGCACATGTTAAAGTAGAAGGATTCTAATAATGTGGCAAACTTTCAACCTTTCATAACCTGGAGAGAAGACGGCTAAACATGACACCAAACACAGCATAATGCTGGTATTTGGAAGCTCGTGTTGGGCACAGTCACATCCAGCTATATTTTTAATGGTGCTCCTTACATTTTTTCAACTTTGACAGGGCCCCAAACTGGAAAGGTTGACCTGTGCTTCCCCTAGTGGAAAATGGGAGGCCCTGAAACAGTGGCTAAGTTGGCCAGGAAGCCTATTTTGCTTACCCCAAACTCAGTTCCTCTCTTCTACCCTGGGAAAGCTCTGGACCTGAAGAGACGACACTGGGGGCTTGTGTATTATTATCACCCTTGTGCCTCTTGGAATTCTTTTCTCCTCTGAAAAGTGGGTTGCATCTCCACATGAATATCTGTTGCATTTGATACAAGGTGGATCCAGAGAGGCCAATCTGGCATGGGGAGTTCCTGGCTGCTGGCTGAGTTATTGACTGCAAACTTCTGGCCCAGATTTTCCCGTGTCACAGCCCTGCAGACCAGGAAGAGGAAGGGAATCTCCTCTTGTTATTCGGGGGCATTCGTATCTATGAATGTTGGAAAGCCAAGAGGGGGAATGGTCTGGCTGCAGAATTATTCTGGATCTCCTGTGGATCCATATTTCCTTGCTTCTCCTTCTCCCCCAAGCACTGGAGATGAGCACGCTCGAGGGAACTGGGGCCTGCTGGATCAAGTGGCAGCTCTGCAGTGGATCCAGGAGAACATTGCAAATTTTGGGGGTGATCCAGAATCAGTTACCATATTTGGGAATTCAGCAGGTGGATTCAGCTCTTCTGCCCATGTAAGTTCACATCCTATTTCATTTCTAATAATTCCCATATTTTTTGGCCTATCTGTAATGGCTTGAGACAAGGTTACTGTCAGACCTGCCACAAAAGTCTAGATAGATATGATAGTTGGCTCCATTTGTTGAGAAAGGTATAGTTTATTAGAGATCAAGTGTGTTGCAGTAGTGCATAGCCAGAACTGAAAAATCGCATGCCAAAATCCCTAAGTTCTACTTTTCCCTCCCTTAACTCTCTCTTATTGCCCACCCCAGTGTAACCAATCAGATTCAGGCAAGATATTTTCCTAACAGTCAGTCCAAGCGTAGTTTGGTGTGTGGGCAGCCCCCTCCTTTTTCCAGCTGGGTGGCCTTGAGGCTTGGGGCGATACAGCATTTACTTTAGTTTCCCCAAGTATTTTCCCTTCATTCCCCTACACAGAGTTCTTGGCAGTCTGTCACTGCATAGCAGTGAAGCACAAGCAAGCCTAAGGTGGCAACCGATAATTGCAAATTATTACAGTATAATGCCTTCTTGGTTGTATTAACAATAAGAATTCAATGTAGCAATGCTAAAACCACAATTTAAAATGCAACTTTTGGTAGATTAATAAAGCATGAATGAGTGTCAAAACTTTCAAAACTAACATGTGAATGAGTGACTTTGGCAGAGGCAGGGCTTTTTGTATAGTTAACTGTCAACGGTCCGACTAGTGGACTCAAAAGAAGTAAATACTCTCAGGAGCCTTGAATTCCCAAAAGTAAAACTTTATTGGATACATCATTTTAGTACTGAAGAATCAAAACCAACTCTGGTTTCTCCTGCGCAAATGCTTTCTTAGTTAAACAGTAGCTTCCCTTTGCCCCCACCCTGGGTGTTCACATTGTCCAATTATGGTTCGTCCTTTTGCCCTGGGAACAATCCACCTCCTTCTCAAGCACCTGCAGGGGTGACCCTGATGGTTTCCAGGCTCTCACGATCTGTGCACAAACTCCCAGCCTTCCTTTCCACCTTCCTTCCCCCCAAGTCATTGGCATGTTGAATAGTGATAAGGTTCAAAAGAAGCAAAGAGGTTCAGTCTTGACATTAATGCTTGAAGTAAATTCATTTGATAATCTCTTGCCAGATACAGTCAAAGCAAAACCAGTACAGTGACTGGGTGATGCAATGGGTTGATTGAAAAAAGTGGCTCTTGCTTTCCCCCCTGGCCAGGTGTTATCCCCTCTGTCCAAAGGCTTGTTCCACAAAGCGATTTCAGAAAGTGGTGTTGCCATAACAGACGTGGTGTTCGATGCCCACCCAGGAAAGCTGGCTAAGGTAAGGTTTGGAAGAGCTCTGGATCTGGGAATCTTTTTTTTTTCGAGGGAAGATGAAAAGTGGAGGAAGACATGTAGAAGAAGGGGTTCCCCTGGCCTCCTGAAGGATTTTCTGGAGCAAAGTAGCTGGGGCTCCATAGCTGTTCCCTGGGGCCACTAGGGAGTTGGAGACACAGTGTGTGCACCTGCTCCATTACAAGGCCGTTAGCTGACTGATATCACCTTCAGCCAGATGTTTCTAAACAGCTGCACAAATATTTGTTTCAAGCTTACTACTGGAGCACAGATAGAATGAAGTGTGCTTTTAAATCATTCTGCTCTGCAAATTGGATCCACTGGCTTTGAGCCCAGTTTAGATAGGCAGCCAGAACAGCCCTCCTCCCTCTTCCTTTTAAAAGACCTCCGGCACCTTCAATCTTCCAAATGCTGGATGAAGAACTATTGCAGGATGGCCTGCTCCTTATTACATTTACATTACATTAAAACTGAATTGTTGGTCTGGATTGCAGAAAATTGCTGGATCGATTAGTTGCCCTACATCCAGTTCGGTGGAGATGGTTCGCTGCCTCAGGGGGAAAACAGAGAGTGAAATCTTATTAGCTACTCTGAAGATGGTAAGAGGCCCCTGCAATACATTGTGATGCTTTCTGGAGAGGAAGAGAGAGGGGTTGGTCCTCCTCTTCTCAAAATATGAGTTGGACTCCAGATGGTGGTCACCATGGTGCTGTGGAAGCCCCACCCGTCTCCTGTGGATGCTCTGTGAAACTCCGAGAACTCCCCAGAACCCTCTTCCTTCTTCCGCTGGTCCCCTCAAGCAGGTCCTGCAGGCCTCACTGGGGGGCTCCTGATAGCACCGATCACCTCTTGATGAAGACCCAGCTGGGTGGCCCAAGACCCACGAGACCTCATCGCGGTCCATTTCTTTATCAAGGCCAGTTCGGGGGGGGTGCCGTAGCTGGGGCTGGTGTGGTCGTGGGGGGGGGGGGGGGGGGGGGGGGGGGTGGCGGGGGGGGGGGCTGGGGGGGGCGGGGGGGGGGGAGGGGCTAGGGCAGTGGAATCACGTTCAAGATCATTTCACCTCATTCAGTCGGTTGAGAATCGTACTTTTTCTTGATTATGTATAAAGGGTAATGATCGTAAAGGGTAGACAGAGGAGACTCTCCTATTATGTTCCGCAAGGCTGTTGCAAGATCTTCCCCTGGGGCTGTTCATCCTCAACTGACCTCCTTCCCACTGTGATTGCAGGATTTTACCCGGCTGCACCTGGGCGGAGAAGAACAGGTGGGTTCCAGCACTTGCCTCATCAAAGGAAGGCAGGAAGCAATGGGGTGGACCTGGGGTGGGATTCTACCTGGTTGGACCAGTTCTATAGAACCAGTTGTTACGATTCTTCACAGTTCGGAGAACCAGCAAATCGCGCCACTGGCTGGCCCCGCCCTGCTCCACCCTGCCCCGCCCCAACCCCGCCCATTCACTCCTTACTTGGCATGTGCACCATCCAACTTGCCTGCTTGTGCCTTCGCCTAATTTATGGAAAGTTGCTATTTTCCCCTCCCCCCTGACCACTAGCTGTTCTGACTATCAGTTGTGCTGGGAGATTTGGATTAGCTAGAAAGCAGGAAATCATTGGATTTCTTGCTTTCTAGCTAATCTAAAAGCAGAGCTGAACCTTCCTTAGGACTGAAGCTTCTATTTTTTAAGTGCAGACTCAGGTAGCAGATTGCAGAAAGGTAGATAGATCTCTGAATGAATCTGTCATTCCGTGAGCAACTCAACCTGCCTGCCTGCTTTGTCTGATTTTGGGTAAAAGTTGCTCTCTTTTTTATAAAAAATTCAATATTTACATACAAGCCATGCCCAGCCAATCATGTGACCACCAAGCAACACCCACAAATTAGGCCATTCCCACAGAACCGGTTGTTAAGAAATTTGAATCCCACCCCTAGGAAGACCTTCCCCCTCAGGAAAACGCTCCGAGCAAATCCAAAGCAGACCAAACCTAGAAAACCCCTTTTCACCAGAACGGCAGAGACGGAAATGCTTTTCAGGCAACCAGCTGAGTGGAGGCGATGGGACAAGGAGCAGCTAAATCTGTAGAAGGAAAGGGGGCCTGGCAGGGGCCTCAAAAGAGACCCTCCCTAGTTTCTTGGACTGTACGGACAAGGAGGTGGGGGAGATGCACTTTCAGACTTGCACGATTCATACTTCCGAATGTCCTTCTGGTCGGGATGACCTCGCAAGGCTCACAAGCCTTACTACTGTCCACGTCATTTTTAAAAATTATTTATTAGGAATTTGATAGAAAGAAATAGACAAATTAGAAGGAAAAAACCCAACCCAAGAAAGAAATACATGAAAGACTGCAAAAACAACAACAACAGAGAGCACAATTGACTACGTAATCTGAAGTTGTCTTCTGAGGTCTGAGGTGAGGAGGATTCCACTGAACTCACGGAAGGTTCCTTCTGACTAAGCACATCTCAGATTTAGGACTGTTCGGTATAAAGTGACCAAAAAATGAAGGTGAGAATTTATAAAAATACTGTATTGAACTGTAAGTTGCAGAATTCAAGTTACAACAATTTAAAACTGTAATTATATACAGAAATTAATAATGTTCTTCCATTTCTATTGCCCATAACTTAGGAGAGGTTGATTGTGATTTCCGTGAAAATAATATTTTAACAGATGTTAACTGATTTCTTTTTCCTCTCCAGCACGTTATCCTTTTCCCTGCAGTAGTTGACGGTCAATTTTTTCCGAAGAGTCCCAGAGAGCTTTTAGCAGAGAAAAACTTCAATAATCTTCCATACATCCTTGGGGTCAATGATGATGATTTTGGGTGGATGCTCCCTCAGGTGGGCCTTCTCCCTTTGTTGAAGAAGCTCTGCCTTTTGGGGTCCTCTGTCCTCCTGGTTCCACTCAACCGGTTGGTTTTACTCTGTCCAGCTTCTCCAGTTTCCAGACGTCACAAAGGGACTTGACAGAGAGACGGTGAACCTCCTGCTACGCAGCTCAGAGCAACTCACAGTAAGAGGCGCTTTCTCGGTGCGGCTGCATTGATCGCCAGCCTCAGTCACGCCTGCTTTCCCTCGGAGCCTGGTGGGATTCAGCCATGGCAACGGGTTTCCAGGGGCTTCCTGACCAGCCGTTGCAGCTCCTGGGGACTTCTACACTTGGGAGCAAGGAGGGAGGGAGGCCCAGTAGGGAAAATCAGGAAAAGGTGATGAGTTTGATCCTTGACACTCACTACAATTCTCTTGTTTCTGTAAGTTTCTTTATTTTTCTTGGTTTTACAGAATGCTGATAAAAAAAGTTCTCTAGACACGTAGGAAATTGTTCTTGGAAACCTGAAAACCAGGGTGGCTGCCATATTGATGGCCCGCCTTTCTTTGACTGTTACAGAGCGTTGCTCCTCAGGATCTTCCTCTGGTTGCCGATGAATATTTCCAGGATCTCCAGGATCCGGTACAACTCAGAGATCATTTCCTGGCTTTATTGAGGGATGCCGTATTCCTTGCTCCAACCATTCTCACTGCCAGACACCACCGAGGTCAGTCACTGTTGGAACTAAACTGGGTTTGAGCAGCCTTAGTGAGATCTAGGACAATGACAATGAGCCAAATTACTATCCCACGGTACAACGGTCATAAGTGCAAAGACGAGTCATGTTTTCCAAGGCCATCATAACTTTGAACCATTATTAAATGGACAGTTGTAAGTCGAGAACTGCCTGCAGGCTTGCTTGGGACCATCTGCAGGTTTCCAGCAGACTGTTTTCCCCTGATTTGTCATTTCTGCCTGAGCTATTAGCATTATGCAAAAAAAATTAAAAAAAAAATTAAGTGATGTTCTAAAACCACAACTCAAAGGGGTGATGTAGTTTGGTGGAGGCCTCTCTTCCCCAATACTGGCCTAAAATGCACGGTTGCTGTTGCCTGCGTTGCACCACTAGTCTGAAGGTGTCCAGAAGGGATAAAGTGAAATATCTAGGGACTCTTTCGAAGTTTGCTACCCTCCAATTTTCTGGCAGTTGTTTACAAGCAGGAAACCCTCCCCCCAAATGGACGGATCCAGGAGGGCAAAGTAGGGCTGGGGCTTGGGAGCTGGTGAGTTCTGACAGGCACCTGTGCATCATTCATACCAGAAGGTTGAATAGGCAGCTTATGTCCCATCCTGCAGCCCCTCAACGGCTGATTAGGAGCCATGGGAAGAGGGGGGGGGTTCCAGTCAAGTCAGGGCAGAGACCTGGAAGGCCCTCCAGCCCCTCCAGATCATCTCCCCCCCCACCCCCATATGCATGGCAGACCGTGGCCAGGGTGAGCACAGGCCCCTTCTGAGCACTGAATGGGGAGCTTTATTTCTTTGATAACAAATTGCACACTGGGGCAATTTCTTATAAGAGGAGGAGGAGGAGAAGGAGAGAGGCGCCCCTGCTTGCCTCAAACTGTAGACATTTTATGCTGGAAGTATTATATTAGGGCCATAGGCAGTGGTGGGATTCAGCCAGTTTGCACCAGTTCGTGAGAACTGGTTGTTAACTTTCTGAGCAGTTTGGTGAACTGATTGTTGGAAGAAATCATTAGGGCAAAGAACTGGTTGTTAAATTATTTGAATCCCACCACTGGCCATAGGGGGTGACAAGTGGCTTGAAGAGGCTTCTTTTTGTTACAGCAGAACTTCTTTGTCCAGATGTGTATATATATATATATAGCAGATAAAGCAGCCCAAGCTGTGTTCAGCTGCACACAACCATTTCCGCTGTCCATGGGCTCCCTGCCTCATTCCCTGCCACCCAGAATGGTGTTCTTGAGGGTCTGGCTGTGGTAGAGCAAATGCTGGAGAATAAGAGATGGTGTCTCTGTTAGAGTTTGCAGCAGAAATCCAAGTCCAGAAAACACACAGATGTCTGATTCAGCAGGATCATTAACTCCTTTATAAACATATTAACATGAGTAAAGTTTACAATACCATTTATAGATTCTTTCAACGTAACATAAGCAAAAACACAAGCAGCAGCTCAGAGGAAGTTTCAATTCTCAGCAAAGCACGCAGACCCAAACCACACCCAGTCTGTCGTCTCCCATTGGCTGGTCTTTTGCCATGCTTACTCCCTTGCTGACTTTGTTGATCGTGTCTCTACCAGTTAATGGATATACTCTGACAGTCTCTGTGCCACGTTCTTCTCTTTTCAGACGCTGGCAATCCGGCCTACGTTTACGAATTGCAGCATTGTTTGAGAGAACACAGCAGCTTTAGGCCAGACTTCGTTAAAGTGGATCATGGGGATGAAATTGCCTTGGTCTTTGGAAAGCCCTTCTTCATGGGTGAGTCTGGAGCACTCCAGGAATTAAACACTGGCCCAACCTGAATGGGGTGGGCACATTCCTGCAGAGAGAAGGGACACACCACGTTTTGTGGATTACTGCTTTTGTTTCACCTGCACCTTATTAGCAGGCCAACCTGGTCAATATGGGCCCAAAGGAAACCAGGTTGATGAAGGAAACCAAGAGTTATGATGATGATCAGGAAACTAGATCCTTGTCAGCAGGTTATTTGGCCTGATGGTGCCTGCAACGACCCATCCAAGGAATACCAAGGTCTGTTCCCCGGGGTTTCAGAGGACAAGCAAAGATCTTAAGACAGAAGCTGGGAAATGGGACTTTGGCAAGAGCAATTTGATGGTGGAACCAATGACCTGAGAACTCTTGGATGTGTTCAAACTGCAGCTGGGGCGATTCCTGTCTAATGAGGGGGCCGAATGGAATTAATGGTCCAATTCAAAGATTCCAAGTCAACAATAATTTCAGTCACAATGAGAATAGATGTTCGTGTAATGCTACACCATGCAAGACAGTTAATCATACTTTCTTGTATTATTTGTGAAATGCCTAGCAGGTGACAATGCAAACTTTTTTTGCCACTGCCTCCCACTGCCCGTAGCTCGCTAATTTGTGGTACTTATGTTGTCAGGAACCAGTGTATTGGTAGTCCTAAGTTGGGCTTATGGAAGACAATTGGCAAATAGAAATCCCTTTGTCTCTTCCTGGTAGGGCTCAAAATGTTGTGTGGTGTTGCCTTTTTTCTCCTCCTCTTGGCTCTGGGCTTTGCTGTGGGGGTTGGGCTCATCCAGGGGTGGGATTCAAAAATCCCAGCAACGGTTCGCTGCCCGGTTGCGGGGTGGGCATGGCCATGGTGGGCGTGGCCTACCGGAACTTCCTGTTTCCAGCTTCCGGTGGGTCTCCAGAGCCCAGGGGAGGCCGTTTTCGCCCTCCAGAGGGTCCGGAGGCTTTTCTCGGGCCTCTGGGAGGGTGAAAGCAGCCTCCCAGGGCTCTGGAGGTCCCCCAGAAGCCAGAAACAGGCCCGTTTCTGGACTTCCGGAATGCCTGTTTTCCCCCTCCCAGAGCCTCCCCATGGCTACTGCACTTACCTCCACCAAAAATGGGCCACATGGAGACTCCTGAGAGGGGCGGGGCAGGGTGGGTGGGGCCAGCCAGTCAGTGGAAATACTGGTTTGGCAAACCAGACGTAACTTTAACATCCGGTTCACCCGAACCGGTCCGAACCGGTAGAATCCCCCCCCCCCCCCGGGCTCATCCCAGAGTGACGTGTCCTTATTTCCCAGGAAGGGGCTCCTCAGGCTCCAGGCTAGAGACTGTCCCCCCACAAAGGATGCTAAAACTGGCCTTGCAACATGGAGAACCACCTCGGCTAAGAAGCGCAGGCAGATCGGAAAGGGCTACTTAGGGCCTCCAATTCAGTCTCCTAACAGATGCTCGAGCCTTTGCTGGAAGCTTCTTAGGTGGTACAGCAGTTGCATTATGACTGAAGTGGTTTTTTCTGTGTGTGTGTGTGTGATTGAAGCCATCACACACCATGGCCCCTCTCAGTTCTTTTGTCAATTCTCACATTTGGCCCATCCCAAAAAGAAACTCCTAGCACGAAAGAACTACCAAGAGTAAAACTTTGTTAAAAGGTCCATTTAGGCGCAGCAGAATCAAAGTCAGTTCTGAGATTTTCCTGTGAAAACCAAACAAGTAAAAACCCCTTTTCACCCCTGGGCCACCCACAGTTCATTGTCCACCAATTGCACTCAGTACTTTCGTTTTGGGAAAACATTCTGGCTTCCCCATTGACTTCGCTTGTCAAAAGGTTGCAAAAAATGATCACATAACCCCGGGACCCTGCAACCGTCATAAATATGAGTCAGTTGCCAATCCTCTGAATTTTGATCACATGGCCTTGGGGATGCTGCAGTGGTCATAAAGTGTGAAAAAGGGTCATAAGTCCCTTTTTTCAGTGCTGTTGAAACTTTGGTCACTAAATGAACTGTTGTAAGTTGAGGACTATCTGTAATTAGACAAACAAGGCCTGTATGGAATGCCAATTAGACGAGTACAATGTTAGCTTGAAAACTATACTCAAAATTCACCAGCTATTTCTCATCAAAAAAGGATTTGACTGTGGAATTCATATTTTTGGGTGTTCTTGAAAAGATGTTGATGCAGATGGAGGACATCTCTGGCTGAGATAATGAAGCTTTGCCAGGGACTCTATTTTCACTCCCCAAATAGCAATTTGTCCCAATTAGATGGTTGTTTCTTAACTCGTAAGGAGATTTGACTGGGCTGGTTACTGACTGGGCTCCAAGTGTTCCTTTCTGAATTCATAAAAACATCTCCAGATTGGATAATAATAATAATAATAATAATAATAATAATAATAATAATAATAATAATA